CAACTCCCTGAAAGGAGGTCAGAGCCAGGTGGGGGTCAGGCTCTTCTCCCAAGGATCAAGTGATAGGACAAAAGGAAACAGCCTCAAGTTGTGCGAGGGGAGATTTAGGTTTGACATTAGGAAAAATATCTTCCCTGAAAGGGTTGTCAGGCCCTGAAACAGACTGCCCAAGAAATGGTTGAATCACCATCCTTGGATGTGTTTAAAAGTCATTTAGATGTGGTGCTGAGGGACATGGTTTAGCAGTGGCCTTGGTAGAGTTAGGTTAATGATCTTAAGTTAGCTGATGATCTCAAAGGTCTCTTCCAGCCTAGACAATTCTGCTCTATGAAATGCAGTTTGATTTCCATCAGAGGCAGGGTCACACACAGAGCTCTCTGCCTGTCTGCTGCAGGGAGCAGCTGATGAAAGTGTTGAGGTGTCTCCTGCACCAAGGGAGAGCTGTGTCTCAGCCTGAACAAAGCCCCCTCCTGTCCCACCCCTGTGCAGCTACACACACAGCTCCACTGCTCCACCCCAGGTCAGTGATGCAGTTATACAAGTGAGGCCCAAAGAGAAGTTTTTAAAAGAGGAAGGACACACTGGATACTTACTAAACTGTTTTCAGGCAGGTGGTGCTGACCCATGCTGCTCCTACACAGAGGAACCAAGGACTTTGTTGTCACTGCTCTCCTCCCCTCACACCATCCTTCACACTACATCTACAAACCTGAACCTCCACCTCAAAACCAAGAGGTTTTCTCAGTGGGTCAACAATCTCTCAGGGGAACTGCATGTTTATAAAGAGACCAAAGATTAGAGGTGGAGCACAGTGCAGAGCCTGGTAGGCTCAGAAGTGAAGCTACAGTAATTCCTCCTTCTCTGCTCATGATAGGAAACTGCTCAGGTTGTTTTATAGAACAAAGGGTGCTGTGGACTCGGCCTAAGCTTGTAAAGCTTAAAAACAAACTCACAATTCAATAAACAAGGTACCTCTAACCTGGAGAATTTTCTTTCTGAACGTGTTTGCTACTGGAGCAACCAGTGGTTTTGAGATTAGCAACTTCACAGCATTAACAGCTGATTTCTGAAGCACATTTTAGGAATGAGCAGCAGCAGAATTTAATGGGAAGCTGCTTCACTTCATAATACAATTCACATTGTGAGGGACGACACTTTCCATTATGAAACTACAAAAACATGTTCCCAGAGTCTGAATCAAGGTTCATAAGTTAAACTGATGATGAAAAAAAAAATAAATCAGGTGTTATCTAGGAAGACCTGTCCCAGTACTGCAAGTCTGGAGTTAAAAGATTGACTGGGGCAACTCAGGAGGGAGTGTGAGCTCTTCTTAGAGTTCTTCTTCTCCCCACTTATCTCTGAAGAGGCATTTTCAGGCTTTTTTGCACTTTCCCCTTCACCGTGGTTGGAAGCTCTTTTTAAAGTGAACTTCTTGGGTTTCTTCAGCGAGTAAAACTCCCTCATCAAGTCTTCCACCTCCCACTGCTCCTCCTTGCTCCTCCTACAGCAGTGCAGGGCTGCAGGGTCTATGGGATGAGCCTCAGTGTTGAAGACATACCCTCCAGCATTCAGGACACACTCCCCGTACGGCGTGACCACCACGTCAAAGGCTGATCCATCATTGTGGATGAAGTTGTCTGGGTCAAACAGCAGGTACAAGTATTTTACTGTTTCAGCCAAAAAGAAGGATTCCATGCGATTATCCAGTCTGTGATCTCTCAAGTCTTTGATCTACAAGAGAAGCAATACAGTGGGTTGCAGTTATAGCCAATTTAGGAAGTTATCTTTGGGGGAGACGAAGTGAAAGCAGCTGGCAGTTCATTCTGAACAGCACAGCACGCCCCCAATTCACCCTGTATTTTAAACAGCTCTATGCAGACAGGTCAAGAAGCTTCCAAAGGTTTTGAATTAGCAGAGTCTAGTGATGAGGAACAGGAAACTAAAAATCAGAAAGAATGCACCTCCTACCTCAACAAGAAGAGTGAGCAAGCTTCCCAGCATTTCCCCACCTACAAATAAGGCTTTTATCTACTTTCCAAATCACAAGGCTTAATTCCCAATATTTATAAGGAGTTCTTTAATCATCTATTAAATTCTTTTAAGGAAATCCCTCACTGCAGTTCTTTTGTGTTTGATCAGACCTTCAAGGCACAGTGGGAAAGCAGAATGACACAAGCAGAGTGCCTGCACGGGAGCCT